TTAATGTCTTTCGCAAGGTGTTCAACAACTGTTCACTGTTTTTCATCCAGGCTATTCATTTGCTTCCATGTTGCTAATGATACTGTTCAGGAAAGATAGCTTTCTTGATGTATATTCAAATTTTTACGACTAAAGTTGACGGCCCACACAACAGAAAACATGCATTTGCTTTAATGTCTTTCGCAAGGTGTTCAACAACTGTTCATTGTTTTTCATCCAGGCTATTCATTTGCTTCCATGTTGCTAATGATACTGTTCAGGAAAGATAGCTTTCTTGATGTATATTCAAATTTTTACGAATAAAGTTGACGGCCCACGGAACAGAAAACATGCATTTGCTTTAATGTCTTTCGCAAGGTGTTCAACAACTGTTCACTGTTTTTCATCCAGGCTATTCATTTGCTTCCATGTTGCTAATGATACTGTTCAGGAAAGATAGCTCTTTTGATGCAAATTCAAATTCTTATGACGAAAATTGATGGCCCACAGAAAAGAGCACATGCATTTGTCTTAAAGACTCATTGCTAACATTGAGCCATTGCGCTACGTAAGCATCCCATAATGCAATTTTAGACTGTCTAAAATCAATTACTGCCATTGTTTGGACCGTCGCCACGCTCGCAAAGGCCCATTGTTAGCAATGAGTCTTTAATGTCTCATTCAAAGTGATCAACAAGTTTTCACTGTTTTTCACTTCAAGCTACTGTCAACCTATAATACTACTACTAAGACATCACACGCAGCTAATACTGCACGATGCGTCTCACTATGCCACGCCAGTTCTTCTGTCCTGTGTCAGTTCAGAAAATCTATTCAATGTTTGTGGTTCTTTTGAGAGATCCAGTTTAATTCCGATGCTGCCAAATATTACTGTCTGCATCCAGGTCGTCTTTGGTCTTCCTTGTGGCCGTTTTAGGGCCCGTTCGCACTACAGAGTCAAAACCTTACAAAGTTAATCCCTATGGTTTTATCTTCAAAGGCGACATTAGATTTTCAGGAAACTGTATAATTGGTACAGTGCGAAAAGGCAAAATCTGTTTTTCACCAAACAGCCCGATTTTCACTAACCCCTCAAAAGTTCCGTCGTAAAGCCCCGAAGCAGCACTTTTATATGAAAATCAAGGATTAACCAGCATGAAACGGGATATAGGTGCCATCATTTCTGTCGGACTGGCAATTCTGTGCTTGTGTACTAAACATTCAAGAAAAG